TGCTAATGTTCCCCCATGCATAGATATTAGAGAAAGGGATTGGAAACGGGGGCGTAGGCTGGTTGATGTTGCTATTGGTTACCGGACCAATACCTGGTTGATTTCCCATCTCCTCCGTTAGTGAGGCTGTGCTGCAAGGACTTCGAAGGATATTTATGGAAATCCAAGAGGATGCTTACTTATGATATACCTACCGTTCGATATAGAAAGTGTAGGACTACCTGCAGCAAGGTTTTTACTTCTACAACGCTATTTTGCAACAAGTTATAGGTACAACAAAATTTTTTCATTTTTCGCTCTTTTTCTGTTGTAACAAACTCATGCTTCATGGATTCTAACTCTAACTAGTATCATTCCGTATGCAAATGAAAGCTCTTTCATATGATTATAAAGATCTTGTATTTTACTCTAGCTTGTTTTCAAAAAAGGGATTATAATGACAAAAAATACATTTTATGGTTTTAAAAGAGCCATAACATGAACATAGTAAAATTATCTATACAATAGAAAACAGTATTATTAAGAGGAAACATTAGGCTTCTTGATGCATTAATTCCACTTGCATAGGAACACTTGTTCGCGAGATATTGTTTCTAAGAGAAAAAAATCAAGGGTAAATTGTGACAAAAAATTTCAACGAGCCTCTGTCAGCCTAGCAGCAATACAAATGAATGGAGGTTGGGCTACGCCCACACATCCGTTTTCTATCCCTTTCATTTACTCTATTATCTATGCCCCATGTACGTCATCGCGTGACCACGCCCACAACCGGAAGTGATTTGGACAAAATGGCTGCAAGGCAAGAAATTGCAACTTTTGACCCAAGATTTAGTATGGAAACAGTACTTTTTGATAATTTTACTTATTTTTCCTATGATTTTTTCTTTATTACCAACTTATTTCTGCAAAAAAAAGTTTTTGGGTTGAGTTACCCTTTAATTTCTTGTTAAAATGAATTTTTGCTGATAAATGTTTATTATAAATCTGCATACTTACCTTGTTGGGCAAAATTTTGTAGGTCAAAAATGACCGAGGAAAATTTTGGTACACTGTACATGTACATATGCATGTACAACAAACTTTCATATTGGATTTTTTTACAACTTTCATGGGCTGTATGTACAGTATTTGGCTGAGAGAGATTTCATAAATTCGATACACAAACATGCTCTCATGTTGTGTAGAAATTTAAAGTTGTTTGAAAATCAGGCCAAAGTTCCTGATCTGTAACAGTACAGGGTCAATGGCCAAATTTAATTGAATTGAAAAGAAAAAATTCTCCATTTAAACATTTTCCATGATACATAATGTGTACTTATGTTTTGTAGAAAGTTAGAGTTGATTCTGATGAAAATTGGATTTTTAATAAATTTTTGAATTTGCTTTAAATCTGGTTAAAGTCCCTGTAGGGTTAGTGACCAAATTTCATCAAAATTTATGCATGTGATACTGATAAAATGGCCTTTTCATTTTCATAATACATGTAAATGTACATGTATATTCAAGCAATCAGCATGGGAAATCATCTTTTACATGTACATGTACATTAACATGCATGTACGTACATGTAGTATTAAAAGTATGTACAAGTAACTTTATACATGTAAATACACATAATTTTAGCGTCTTTTTTTAATTGCAGACGGTAAAGCCGATTTCCCTTGCTCCGACTGAAAATTCGCTGCCAGCATTAAAATTAACTTCACTCTCCCTGAAGAGTTCTGGTACAGATTCAACCCACAAACATACACTCCAGGAGTAGAAGATGGACCCAGCTTAGAACCAAGAGGATCGCTCATCACTCGAGAGGCACAAGAAATCGTTTTTGTGGGCCCACCTGCCGCTGGTAAAAGTCAATTTTACAAAGACTACATGAGGAGAGAAAGAAATAAAAGACATTATTGTCACGTTAGTAGAGACTTGCTGGGTAGTTGGCAGAAATGTGTCACTGAGTGTAGGGAAGGACTGGTTTCTGGTTACAGTGTAGTTATTGATAATACGAGTCCTGATATTGAGTCAAGGGGTTAATGTGGTTTACATTCCATGCATATTTCCGCCATTCAATATTCAAAATTTATTATGGATTTTGACTGTTACTATGTATAATCATTGTGCATGAAACTGTCTTAGTTTCATTTACTGATTTGCTATGTTAGAGGAGTAATATGTAAAATATTGTTTTTGCTAACGGTCCATTGTCATAACAGCTAGTTTCTCCCTTTGGGTGAAAATAGTTGTGTTGTGTGCATGGTTATAATGTTATTTTTGATTCATGCATTGCATGTGACTGCAGTACTGCTTTGAAACCAAACTAAGTACAAACTAACTGAAATTTAGACAACTGTAATATGTGAGCATCTTATGGTTAAGTTGCTAGGCATAGATATTCTAATATCTATGTGCTAGCATAGATATTAGAGTAAACTCTAATATTTATGGTGCTAGGTAACATTCTCTAGCCACACCTAGCGCTAGGGAGTGGCTTGTACTTATTTCGGAAATGGATGCGGTTGATGTTGTTGCTGACCTCTTCTCTGCTTATTCTTCAGGTGATATTGATCATGTTATTCGTCTGATTGGTGCTGGAGTGTCTCCTTTTACTACCAACGATGAAGGTAACACATTGTTTCACTTGTGTTGTACCAATAATACTGACGGACCGAGAATGCTAGAGCGTCTTTTGATGGTAGTTCCCCTCGTATTTACCTCATTGAGTGTATCATTCCTCTTTGTTAAAAATAATGATGGTAATACTCCACTTCATCTCGCTTGTTTTGATGGAATTATGGAGTGCGTTGAATTATTACTGCCACGTTCACCGCCTGCTGTAAATATATTTGAATTAAGTAACAATGCTGGTTTATCTCCATTGTATTATGCTAGTGAAGCTGGGCATATTGATATAGTAAGATCAGCTATTTTAAAGCATGGTCCATTGAGTATTGATAATATCATTAAATGTATAGACGTTGCTGGTAGTTGGCAAATTATTCAATTGTTATTAAGGAAAATTACACTCAGAGATATGATGGACACGTGTAATAAACATGAACACACTCAACACCTCCTAAGACTCTTTCCTATGGATAACGAATACTTTCAGTTAAGTGATGGAATGACAACTGTACTTCATTTAGCTGCTTTATCAGGTGATTTTACTTTTTTAAATTTAGGCTTCGATATAAACAGTTTAGATAGTGATGGCTATACTCCTCTACACAGAGCTATTGAATATGGTCGTGTATCAATAGCAAAACGTCTTATTAGTCAACCCAACTGCATTTGTGGAACATCAACTAGAAATTACAATGTAACTCCATTACATGATGCTACTAGTGAATTAGGTGACCTATCATTAGTAAAGGTTCTGGTGGAAAGAGGTGTGGATGTTAATATTAGTAACTGTAATGGTTTAACTACATTGCATTGTTCTTGTATTTGGGGTCACTTATCAATTGTGGACTATTTAACATCTCTTCCTCAAATTAATTATACAAGAGATTTTCGGGGTAGAACATGCCTTCATTTTGCAGCAGAATTTGGGCATGTAAATATAGTCAAGTATCTTGTTGAATCATGCAATCATGCTATTAATGTAGAGGATATGTATGGCAATACTCCACTGTATATGGCATGTCTTTATAATTACTTACCAGTAGTAGAGTATTTAACACGACATTCAAATTGTAACATTAATAGTAATAATGAGAGACATCCTTTAATAGGAGCAACAGATAAAGAACATTTAGAAATAGTAAGGCTTTTTATTGAATCTAGTGGCTGTGATATTAATGTTAGAGAAGATGAAACTGGGTCCACTTCATTACATAAAGCATGCTATAATGGATCACTGTCAATAGTAGAATATTTGATATCTAAACCACAGTGTGAGATTGAAGCTATGGACAAAAAAAGGAACCAACCACTTCATTATGCAGCATGTCAAGGACATAAGAAAATAGTTTCAATATTAGGAAAGAAGGTGAGTGAAGATGGTTTATCTAAATGTATAGAATCAGCCAAGCAACTAGCAGAACCAGATATAATGAAACTATTAAATAATCTTTATGAAGATAGAATATCATTAATTGATGCATGTAAATCAAATAATTTAGACATTCTACATCAAATTGTGATCTACAAACAGTACGATGTTAATGCTAAAGGAAGAGATGGCTTCACCCCTTTACATGTGGCTTGTTTTAATGGTAATTTTAAAATTGTTCAATTTCTTACAAGTTGTACTGAAATAACTGAATGCAATATAGAAGCTAAAGACAATGGTCAAAATAGGCCACTGCACTTAGCATGTCAATCTGGAAATGTAGACATTGTACATCATCTTATGATTGATAAACACTGTGATGTTAATGCTAAAAGAAGGGATGGCTTAAGTCCATTACATGTGGCATGTGAAAATAGTCATTTTGAAACTGTTAAAGTTTTAACAAATTATCCGCAATGTAATACTGAAGCTGAAGACGAGTCTAATGACAGACCACTACACAAAGTATGTCAGTCAGGAAATGTGGATATTGTACATCATCTTGTGATTGATAAACACTGTCACGTTAATGCTAAAGGGATGGATGGCTATACACCATTACATTATGCATGTGAAAAGGGTCATTTTGAAATAGTTAAAATTTTAAGTAATCGACGACAATTTGAAGCTAAAGACAAGTCTAATGACAGACCACTACACAAAGCTTGTGAATCTGGAAATGTTGACATTGTACATCATCTTGTGATTGGCAAACACTGTGATGTTAGTGTTACAGGGTCTAATGACTTAACTCCATTACATTATGCATGTAAAAAGGGTCATTTTGAAATTGTTAAAATTCTGACTAATCATCCACAATGTAATATTGAAGCTGAAGATGATTATAATTACAGACCACTACACAAAGCATGTGAATCTGGAATTTTAGACATTGTACGCCATCTTGTGATTGACAAACACTGTGATGTTAACGCTAAAAGGTGGAATGGCTTAACTCCATTACATTATGCATGTGAAAAGGGTCATTTTGAAATTGTTAAAATCCTGACTAATCATCCACAATGTAATATTGAAGCTGAAAACAAATCTAATGACAGACCACTACACAAAGCATTTCAATCAGGAAATTTAGACATTGTATGTCATCTTGTGATTGACAAACACTGTGATGTTAATGCTAAAGGGTGGAATGGCTTAACTCCATTACATTATGCATGTGAAAAGGGTCATTTTGAAATTGTTAAAATCCTGACTAATCATCCACAATGTAATATTGAAGCTGAAGACAAGTCTAATGACAGACCACTACACAAAGCTTGTGAATCTGGAAATGTTGACATTGTACGTCATCTTGTGATTGGCAAACACTGTGATGTTAGTGTTACAGGGTCTAATGACTTAACTCCATTACATTATGCATGTGAAAAGGGTCATTTTGAAATTGTTAAAATCCTGACTAATCATCCACAATGTAATATTGAAGCTGAAGATGATTATAATTACAGACCACTACACAAAGCATGTGAATCTGGAAAATTAGACATTGTACGCCATCTTGTGATTGACAAACACTGTGATGTTAACGCTAAAGGGTGGAATGGCTTAACTCCATTACATTATGCATGTAAAAAGGGTCATTTTGAAATTGTTAAAATCCTGACTAATCATCCACAATGTAATATTGAAGCTGAAGACAAATCTAATGACAGACCACTACACAAAGCATTTCAATCAGGAAATTTAGACATTGTATGTCATCTTGTGATTGACAAACACTGTGATGTTAATGCTAAAGGGAGGAATGGCTTAACTCCATTACATTATGCATGTGAAAAGGGTCATTTTGAAATTGTTAAAATCCTGACTAATCATCCACAATGTAATATTGAAGCTGAAGATGATTATAATTACAGACCACTACACAAAGCATGTGAATCTGGAAATGTAGACATTGTACGCCATCTTGTGATTGACAAAAAAAAACACTGTGATGTTAATGCTAAAGGGGGGAATGGCTTAACCCCATTACATTATGCATGTAAAAAGGGTCATTTTGAAATTGTTAAAATTCTGACTAATCATCCACATTTTAATATCGAAGCTAAGGACAATTCTAATGACAGACCACTACACAAAGCATGTGCATCAAAAAATTTAGACAGTGTACGTCATCTTGTGATTGACAAACACTGTGATGTTAATGCTAAAGGGATGGATGGCTATACACCATTACATTATGCATGTAAAACGGGTCATTTTGAAAATGTTAAAATTCTGACTGATCATCCACAATGTAATATTGAAGCTGAAGATGATTATAATGATAGACCACTACACGAAGCATGTAAATCTATAAATGTTGATATTGTACGTCATCTTGTGATTGATAAACACTGTGACGTTAATGCTAAAGGGAGAAATGGCTATACACCATTACATTATGCATGTAAAGTGGGTCATTTTGAAATTGTTAAAATTTTGACTAATCATCCACAGTGTAATATTGAATCTGAAGATAATAATCTAGAAAAACCACTTCATTTAGCATGTACATGTATATTTAAAAATGTAAACATTGTACGACATCTTTTGATTGATAAACGATGTGATGTTAATGCTAAAGAGAGGAATGGCTATACACCATTACATTATGCATGTGAAGAGAGTCATTTTAAAATTGTTAAAATTCTGACTAATCATCCACAGTGTAATATTGAAGCTGAAAACAAAAACAATAAAAGACCATTACATTTAGCTTTTAGTCATAAACCTCTTACTGAAAGTCAATGGGACATTGCCAGTTATCTTGTTCAAGATAAAGGTTGTAATACTCAGGGGATTGATAAGAAGGCTACTACCTATCTTCATATTCGTCAATCCAGTGGTATAGCATTATTACGTGTTGTTAAGTGTATATTGACAGGTCCTCCTGGTGCTGGGAAGAGTACATTAAAGAAGAGACTCCTCAATCAATCTCTTGATACAGGTCCTTCTCTTAGTACTGGTGTAATTGATGCAGCTGTACAAGTTAATTCATTTCGTAAACTATCACAGCACAATGCAGTAGTGACTACAGAATGGGAGGAACAGGAACTTGATGAAGAAGCTATACTTGATCACTAGGAAACTATTACCAGCAAACAACACATCAAATGAGACTACTAGACTTACTGCACCTCATCAGTCTACTTTATCATTTGAAAATACAGAAGAAACTTCATCATTTAAAAACCAATCAAGATCACCAGAAGAAATAGACCTATCTAATCAATATGATAATGCAAGTGTCATGTCTTCATCTAGTTGCATGCATTCTGAAGTATGTGATGTCACAAGTTACAATGAAGAGAGCTCAAACATGGAGCATGAAAATATAGCCAATTCATGCAGAACACCTGTCAATTGTGAGGTGAAAGAAACGAAAACTGATACTAAAGTGCAGAATAGTGACATTTTAAGTTTATTAGATTATGTAAAGAAGATACCTGAGAGAAAAAGACAAAGAATCGAGAGGAAGCTTGAAGCAAAAGGTGGCAATCACACGATGTTACATATCATTGATACTGGAGGACAGCCTGAGTTTCATGAAATATTACCAGCTCTCATAACTGGCCCGGCTATCAATCTACTGGTATTCAAACTAACTGAAGATTTAAGAAGTCGCTATAAAATAATATATCGAACTTCTGCTGGTGATTCTGAACCTTATGAAACCTCATTGACACATGAAGAAGTGATATTCCGTTCACTAGCAAGTATAGCTTGTTTAAGACAGAACACTATTGGATGGAGTTTTGATGAAGTACCTATTGAAGATAAGTCAGAACCTGTTGCCTTCCTTATTGCTACACACAGGGACCAAGTGGATGAGAATAAAGTGAATGAAGTCAATGAACAACTGCAAACAAAAATTAAAAAGAGTTCAGATTTGTTTAATGAAAACCTTGTACAATTCTCTAAAGAAGAACAAGTCATTTTTCCGCTTGACACGACAAAGGATGAAGAAAAAGTAGAACATCTTCGCTTTTTTCTTCACCAGGTTATATCTCAAAAATTTCAGGAATTAAAAATACCAGCACCTTGGTGTATTTTTAGTTTAAAATTAAGAAAAAGTACAAAAAAACTTTTCCATTATGATTCATGTTTCAACTTAGGTAAAGAGTGTGGTATCCAAGATACTGTAGAGTTTAAAAACGTTTTGTGGTATTTGCATCACAGAGTGGGTATCATCATGCATTATCCTAATGTAGCAGGTTTAGAGGATGTTATTATCACTGATCTTCAACTGGTGTTTGATCGTATCACTAATCTCATCACAACATGCTTCACTTTTGAACAGTCAGGCAGTGCTGCTGTGGGAGAAGAATTCCGTAAAAATGGACGTTTTTCAGAATCACAACTAGATGAGATGTCATCAAGAGAGAAAGGTGATCCTCTTAATACAAAGAAACTAGTAGCACTACTGAAGCATCTTTATATTGTAGCTGGTCCTATGAAAACTAAAGTTGGTCGAAAAACTGTCAAGTATTACTTTATGCCTTGTGCTCTGAAACCAGCAGATGTCGAAAAAGAGGAGAGAAATGGATCAGTTAGTCCAGCTCCTTTATTGATATGTTTTGAGTGCGGGTATACTCCTGTTGGTGTATTCTGTTGTCTAGTAGTGTATCTTCTTGATCAGAAAACAGACCAAGTGTTGGAATGGAAGTTAACTGGTAATGATCAATATCGTAATAGGATTACCTTTCAAGTTGGTCAGTACTATGATACAGTTACCTTAATCAGTTGTGCTACTTATCTTGAAGTTTGGGTTCAACAAATAAAAGGCTCAAAGCTGTCAACAAGTGAATTATTATCATCATTGGACAAAGGAGTAGACATAGTTACACAGTCACTCCATTACACTTACAAGTCAAAGCATATGTTTGGAGTGCAATGTACATGCACTGCAGTACCTCATCCTGCTGTGATTGGCTTTAATGAAGAAGCAACTAAATGTGTGAATGGCAGAATAGTGGAGTTTAATGAGAAGCAATTGTACTGGTCCACTAAGGTAATTCAATAATCATACATCATTGCAAAATTATAGTTGTATTTATAATTAAATGTGGATGAATAGGTTGTTAAGCTGAACAACACAACACAAAATACAAGCTGTGAAATACCATCTCAAACTGGTAATCAACAAACTTTACATGTTTAACAATTTATCATCTCATAGAATCCCACGTTCCTAAAAGTTTTTCATTCCATGACACAGCTGCAATAGATACAGAAGGTTGCTACTATGATTTGATTTTAATATTTGTTTACATTTTGTCTTTTAGTTTGTCCTAGAGACTTGTTTCGTCAATGCTCAGCTGATATTACCCATTGTGTTTCGTTAGATGTAGTACGTGTTGCTGATAGACTGTTTGCTGCAAAAGTGATACCTGAAGCATTAAGAAATGAAATCTCCAGTTTAACAGGTTTAGATGACTATAGAAAAGCCAACAAAATGATGGTTCACATTCAAAATATCCTCAGTTCTTATTCAAATCCCACTGAGTATCTTACTGATGTGTGCTATGCATTGCTCCTAATAGACAATGAAACACTTAAGCACATTCTTAATAGTATATTAAAGGAGTTGGGAAAACCTCAAGGTAAATACAAATAATTAAACCTATGTTTTACACATTATTATATTCTATATAGAAAGCAAAGAGGATATGAGTAAAAGCTCTAATTTAAAAAGACCAAGAGCAGCACAGGGTACATGTACATTGTACATCATTATTGATTTATTATTACAATTTATAGAAAATGCATCTGCCAGCAAGAGGTTTGAGATAGACACTGAAGGTTCTTACCACAGCACAAAAAGCACTTTTGTTAAAGAACAGTCCTCTGGTAGTAGAATTTTACAAAATGAAAGAAGAGGACGAAAGAGACAGATAGAAGACATTTCTCCTGGAGAACTTACTGACTATAAAATCAAAAAGGCAAAAAGTCAAAGCTCAGAAATTATCAGTTTATTGTCTGATGATGATGATGTCCTAATACTTGATTCTCCTCCTCCCTCTCCTTCAGATAAAGGACATGGTAAAAGATCAATTGGAAATAAACCACACAGAAGAAAAACTGGTTCCAAAAAATAATGTAAGCAAGGAACATTCACATCAACCAGCTTTTACTTATAGGTGCTAATCAGCTTAATTCCACTTGTTAGTATTGAAACATAATACTGAATACTATTTTACTTGGTCTTGGTATTACTTGTATTATTTTCATGATCCTCCATCACTTATTATTACTATGCAATCACGCTTCTTTTTGTCACTCAAAGTTTTTGTTTATAAATCATCATAATATTTTTTATTAAAATATTAAATAGATAAAATATTAAATAGATTATAAATTTTAAATATAACAGTCATTTCACAAATCATTAATTTTCTTGAAAGAGGAACGAACTAAAACAAAAGCAGATATTAAATACGTTATGTCCTCTCTCCCTCTCTTCTCAGGATCCATTACTAGGCTCTCTCTTTTACCTCCACTTCTTGTTACCTCCTCCTCTTGTGGTGTTATTATTAAACACAAACGGTTTGGTGCGTCCAGTAAACACTTCATTGCATACTTGAAGCTAAAATAAATAAAACACATTTTTAATACCGTACAAGATGATTTATTGGCGGAAAATTGGTGGTTCTATGAAGAAATTGCTAATATAACATCCGCCATTTTGTTTCAATCTGAGCATGCTCAATGGCACGTGGCAAAGTCGCCAATATTAAAATTCACCAATTTCTTTCCACAGACAAATTTGCCAAATTTTACTCCCACCAATAAATCATCATGTATGGTAAATCATACATGAAATTATAAACTATGCATTATGTACAGTCTTAATATTTAAAAAACTCACTTTCACATTTTTCTCCATTCGTCCAGCAGCAAGATCAAGGAAAACCTGTCTCAGTTCTTGTTCCTTCCTTAGATCAAATTGTGCCAGTTCGTCGGATAAATCTCTACAAATCATCTTAAGATATCCTTTGGCATCTGAGCAGTTGCTGCTGGCTTGAGCCCATAGAATCATCAAGACCAATGTTCCTCCTTGAGGGTGACTAGCAATTACCGCCATGAGCATTAGTAGCATCTCGTGTTGACTCATCTCTTGACTATCCTCCTCCCCCAGTGCTGCTACCACTGATACTACTCACTCCACTGTTATCAAACACTTTATGCAGTGATTGGGGACATCATGAATACTGTGACTCTGTATAATAATATAAAGATCAATAATTAATACTTACATGAATACCAAGATAATAGCATAATAGTATTTAGGCATTATTCCTTAATATCTGACTCACACAAGGTACATGTACATGTACACACATGAGGTGTATTTACATGTACTTACTGAAGTAACTGCTTCATATATCATTACTTCTTCGTCCCAATACAAGAATCTATCAACAGCTTCCTCTACTCTGGTTAATAAATCCTATTAATAATAAATAATTAATGTTTGGTTTACTACTTCATTGTTGTCAATGTAACAAGAGGAGAGAGAGAGAGAGAGAGAGAGAGAGAGAGAGAGAGAGAGAGAGAGAGAGAGAGAGAGAGAGAGAGAGAGAGAGAGAGAGAGAGAGAGAAAGGGAGAGAGAGCTTACCACTGCTGAGTGAATATAGTTAGCAATAGACTGAAGGTTTTGGACACATAGAGCATCATACCCGTCAAAGGTACTCCGCTCTATCATCTCACCCTAGCCATATCACCTAATGATAGTTTAAAGTATGTATCACTTGAGGCTTTCCCTCTGCAAAGTGATGGAACCAGCCAGACATACATGTAGTATCTACTATAACAAGAAACATATCAGCATTAATACGCATTTTACTATTGTAATAATTATCTCTAATTGTATTTATTAAAATAGAAGCCAATAAGCTAATTAATACTGAACATATTGCATAAAAATGCAATAAAAACATTATACTATATATTTTATACTATACATGTATATTTATCCTTGTACTATAGTAAAGGACTCTGGCCTAATTTTTGAGTAACTTTAAAAATTAGTAAAAAATCCAATTTTGATTGGAATCAGCTCAAACTTGCTACACAACATTAAAGCATGTAAATGTATCAGAAAAGCACATAGTACAGCTATGTATTTGCATAGACCTGGCAATTTGGCAGTTGTAGGTGAACTGTTTGTTTAATGGTGACCACACAATTAATACAAGAACACAAATACACATCAATTTAGGCTACTTTAAACAAAAAGCATTGTTTTTTAAGTATCCACTTTGAACACCGTTTTCATTTCTATAGAGTTCTATCAAGATTTGATAGTTTTCATTCTTTTCTGTGCAAATGAAAGCATAAAACAGGCACAAAACTATACTGATTGCATCCTTTTCATTGCTGTGTAAACGTAGCCTTACACTACATTTATGTAAGCTAGCCAAACCAGACTGAGCTGGCCCTGCTGTACTAACCATGCTGTACTTCAGCTCAGTTTGGTAATTGTCTACCCTATCAAATGAAACTGTGCTGCCCCACTTTAAATATGGCTGGCTCAGTTAAACATGCTAGTGAAAATGTAATATAACACAGTGGACCCCTTTAAGTTTATACATGTAGTTGGTAATTGTACATGCACTACCAGTATATGGCTTGCAAAGTCTGTTGCTATACATGATACTACTAACCAGTACCATATAGCTCCAAATTTTCATCGGTCAAAATTTTCGTCAAATTCGTCAGGTATTTTTGCTTGACAAAATTTTTAACCGACGAAATTTTCGTTCCATGTGAATAGTATGCGGATTAATAACAAAAATTACAAAAATTTTATTGACAAAAATTAATTTTAACAAGAAATTAAGATTTTGACGAAATTTTTGACTGACGAAAATTTGGAGCCATACGGTATTAAGCATGGCTCCTGCTAGTGTCACATCAGGATGAGAGGCAACATCAGGTCTAACTGACAGAGGTGTCTTTAATGGAGACCCTACAACACTCCCTCCCCCTCCTCTTCTATGAGGGGAGGACTGAGGAGGTGTCTTCACTGGTGAGTTAATGAGGTATCTCTGTATCTCCTCTTCAGCAACCTAATAATGGACAATAAGGGATAAACAATTAAACACCCTCATGTACATGTGTACATATATATTAATATGATTATCATAGTATATTTTATTATATGTACATGTGCGTGCATGTACAATGTACATGTATCATTAACATAAAACAGAATTATTCATTAGTAGTTCAAGGATAAATATTACATAGTGGTAGAGAGTGATTCAGTTTTCCTTACATATTTGTGACAATCCTCTCCTACAGTTGGTGGTATGAATATGGCTGCTTCTTTGGCTAATTTGATGACACCACTCAATGGGATTAACTTGGAATAGCCTAGGGAGAGAGAAGGAAGGAGGATAAGAGATAGAGAAATGGAGTTGGGAAAGAAGTGAAAGAGAGGGGACAAAGATATAAAAAGAACAGAGTATATGTATGTACATGTCAATTTCAATTCCCCCTCTCTTTTACACTTTCCTCTCTTATCTATACTCCCACATACACACAAATACGTGTACATGTACATGTACATGTATATGTACACGTGCATATGTAATATACAGACATTATACAGCATTAAAATTTTAGGAAATAGGAGACTTAGCAATAGGCTAAATACAGCATGAGAGAACAAAAGCTGAAAAATGGGAGATTTCAGGAGACCTAGTCCTACATGTAGACCAAAAGTGGGAGACCAAAAGTCTCCTAAACTCCCTCTAGATCTAACAGCATCCATTACAGGCATACATGTACTGTGCTTCCATTTCACCCCCTCCTCTCTCCTCCCTCCTCTACAATCATTTTACCAGATGAAGGGTCAATGGATCCCCGAGCCCTCAGTGCATGAATCTGTAATGAAGTGGCTGGTACTGTTGGTACTCCTAGTCTTGTCCTCTTTTGTAAACTGACTTGACTCCTTTGACTAAATATCTAAAATATAAATACAATATATCATTTTGATGTCCCTTTGATGAACAACAATTTACATGTAAACAACATTTAAAAATAACATACAATAACAATGCACATGTACATTTCATGCAACTTCATGCTTAACAAAATTAATAATAAATAAATAAATAAAAGATTAATATTGTCTCTTCACTTACTTTGGCAACCAGTTCAGCAATGGCTACATAAGGTTCCCCAGAGGGCGGGGTCAGAAGAGTGATGCTCCTCCCATCACCCCAAGGAAGATAATTATAATCCAAATCTAAAATTTAAAAATGTACATTATATACATGTACATGTACATTGTAAGGTGGGTACTAATTTTTTAAAGGCTACTACCACTTACACATGTACATGTATACTAATTTTATTCAATTATATGTATCATACATGAGGATGAACATGTTCATAACACCTTAATTAATATGTACACTGTACATACAGAGTACATGCATGTACCTCACTAAAATTGCTAAAATTATGTACATGTACATGTAATGAGATGAAGGTATAAAAAAAGCAAAGAGAACCAAAAATGTACATGCATACGTGTAGGCTAAATGTATGAGAGCTCCTATCCTTCCTCTTGATCTACAATGTACCAGTGAGTGCCATATAGCGGGTAATTTTGGTGAATTGCTAAATTTTGATGATTGGCAAATTTTAATTTTAATTTTGAAAAAGGCTATCAAAACACCAAATTTGCCAAATTTTATTCCCTCTAAAATTACCCGCTATAATGGTAATTAAGATAACATTACCTTGATCACTGAGTGGTGAGAGTCCAGAGTGTGAGGTCCTCCTCTCCTTCTTCTTATTAGTCCCAAGGTACAGTTTAGTTCCTGAGGGTGACATCATGTCATTGCTGGGTACTGGAGGAGTGGAGGATAGAGACTCTCCAGGAAGAGATGAGTATGAGTCACACTGATTGATAGAGGGATCATCAGG